TGCTTTCAGCAAACTGGAGCAGAAATGAGGCAGATCTTCAAAGTGCTCACTTATCTTCCTCAATAACTCTTCTACATGTAAACAAGATAAACCAGGTTGTTTTGCCAGATCCCCCTCTCTTTGAATGATGTTCAAAAAATTTTAAAGAGAAAGAAGTTGTGTTCAGACGTATTTCTTAAAGTTTTTCCTTGAAGTACCCTTTTTTCTTTTTCCTTTTAGAAATGTTATTGTAAAATTAAGCTGTGTCATGGAAATGTGATTAAAATAGGGAGCTCTGTACTTAATTCTGCAGAACCCTGGGGCCAGGCTGCTTTTAGAAGTTCTGCTAGAACTAGGGCCTAAATTATTGTGTATCAGTACAAAAGACCAACTTTCCCTCTGCATTCTTACCTTTTGAAAGTCTAAATCTGGAAATCTCAGCTGTTTTTTCTCTAGTCAGTCAGCACAATTCTGGTTAATTGGCCAGTGTGAGGTTGGTTCTCTTGAGGAACCTTTTGTAGTCTGTTAAGTTAAATCTGTGTGTGAGTGTGAAGCAAAGGTAACACCTCTGGCATTTCCCTCTGCAGACAGACTGGCTGTTCTCTGTATTTCCAGTGGATTCCTCTTTTGGGTACATCCGATGGAGACCACTCTGGGGAGAGCAGTGGTTGGCTTTGGATACAGATGGCAAATGGCTTTTGTTCCCAGGTGCTGTTTGCCGTATTCCTCTTTTCAGACCATGTGGAAACCAGTGGAGTCTTTCTGTTGCTGAACTTTGAGTTGCAGTTTCCTGCTCTGCCCTGTTTCCTGTACAAAGCTCCAGACTGCTCCCACCATTGTGACAGGAATGAGTGGGAATGTTACCATGGCCCCCATGGCTCCAGCTGAAGTTGAATTCTACTTTTATTTAGCACTGTCCTTATCAGAAAATGATAAATAAAATTAAGAACTGGTGAAAACTGCCAGCTCCCTGAACCATCCTGGTCTTACCATGCTCCTCTAATTTTTGGAAGCTTTTTTACCATCACCCTCCTTTTAAATTTGGTATTCCAAGTCAGTAACAGATCAATCATGAAAAACTTCATGTTCACTTGCTACAGTAGCTGATACCACACTGGAAAATGGTTATGAAAAAAGTAATTTATTTTAATGTTCTTTATATACAAAGTAATTTCACATTACCAACATTTTGATGCTCTAATAGTACTATTTGTTATAATTAAGGAAAAAAGAGAACAAGAATGTAGTGCCTAAATGACTTAATGCTCCTAAGTCTTGTTTGCAGCAGTGACAGAGATATTTCAGAGGACACCTTGATGGAAATTAGTGAAGAAAGGCATCCTAAATTTCTAAACTGCTTTTGACAATGAAGGTATAAATTCCCAAATTTTCCTTTTGCAGACAGAAGTTATGCACATGCAATTGGTAGTCATGTTAGGAAGTATCTGGATTATTCTTAAGTACTGATTACCTACCAAATTCTGCTCAGTGTGGGAAAGATCAGTACTTCAGAAATTGAGACCCTCTTAAAAAATGCTGAGAGCTTACATCTAAGTAAAATATTTTGTTTGTTTTTTCTTCCAATAATTTGGCTTCTCAGATTCTTTTAGTGCCACAATAGCTCATAAAACTGGAACAAATTTAAAATTGGTTGAATGCAATTATTGCATCTCTATCCATGGGCTCTGTTGTCTCATGAAATGCAGTCACTTTTCAAAATACCTACACTTTTTTTAAGGATTACTGCCCCCCTTTCCTCTTTCTTTTAGGATCCAAAATGAGTCTGACATGAATTTTCTTTGACCAAAAATGAATTTGGGCCAAGATTCACAATTCCGGAACGCTTTCAAAACACTACCAGCGAGATGGAAGAGTGTGTGTTTGTACCAGTGTGTGGAGCATTGGAAATCATACCTGTCAAAACCAAAACATTCCAAAAAGCTCATCCCTGACCTTTGCCCTTAACATGGAGTGAGTGCAACCACCAGGATCCAGGCTTTCTATCAAGTGGGTTGAAACACGTGAGCCGGGTTTCCATTTGTCGAGATCCGTGTGTAAAGTCCATGCAGGGAGCTCAGCACTCGGAGCCTGTGTGGGGCTCAGAGCAGCAGGAATGTTCCCCTCCCGGGCGCCAGGGGCAGTCCCTGGGGCGCAGCTGCCCCAGCCTCGGGGGGTTCCTGGGGCAGGTTTGTGCTGTGTCAGTCTGCACTGCACTGCACTGTCCCAAGGGGCTGTGTCTGCTCCCAGCTCTCCTGGTGCCTCCCTGGCCGAAGGACTCCTTGCCTTGTGGCAACACATCCTCTTCCAGAGGCTCCTGGCACGGTTGCACCGCCCTTGGGAAGCTGTGCTGTCCTGCAGACCCGGCTCTCGAGTTACTGTCCTTGAGGCCCGTGTCGTCCCCGCGGCAGTGCTCCGGGTGCTCCTGCTGGCAGGAGCCTCACTGCGAGGCCACGACCTGCTGCAGCCCCCCGGGGTGCTGCAACCCCCCCATGGGGAGCGGGGGGGGCGGGGGGGGCGCTGGGAACAGGGAACTGGGCATCTCGGAGTGAGTCTGTGGGTCAGGGACGGGCATGGGGCTCACAGAGCCAGAGTCACTCTGCAGGGAGCCCAGGCTGCTGCCCTCAAAGTGAGTCATTTTCTTCTTCATTAACTTTCTTTCCTTGGCTCTGCGGTTCTGGAACCAGATTTTCACCTGTAAAGGGGCAGAGGAAAGCTGTTTTCAGTTGCTGATAAAGTGCATTTACTCACGGAATCACAAGGAACATCAGTGCCATGAGCACCAGTGAGAAAGGCAGTGGCAAAGTGAGACAACAGAACTGTGTGCTTGTTGGTAATCTTTCCTGGCTGGTAATGAAATATTTAGTAATAGCTTGATAAAAAGTGTTTTTCAGTGTTAGTTTAGAGGTATTTCTTTATGGAATGACCTTTGATTCATTTGATTTTACTTTTTTAAACGAAATCTAACAGAACAGAATCTTGTGGGTCACAGTGATGGCCAAAAGGATCCAAGAGTATCATTGCATTGAAAACTACATGTCCTAGTCAGGGCAAGTCAAAATCTGTTCCTGGCCAATAAACTGAGGCACAAAAGCTTTCCTGTTTGGATGCTGCACAGGAATTGGTGATCTCCAGTGTGTGAGCCAGTGCAAATGCACTTCTGAGCAGAGTTTCACCAGTGCACTACCCTTGGGACTCCATGGTAATTCAAAGTGTTGTATAAGCAGTGCCTTAATAGCTCAATGCCTTTTATTGCATTCACAGATGGAGCCAGAATGTGCTACTGCTTTTCACCACATCCCAGGGACACAGTTATCCCTGGGAAGAAAGGAAGGACCCATTGAAGAGTACATGGATTTTGGCTGGCGTGGAAAAAGTGAGGAATGAGATGAAGTTGATGAGCAACTAAAAATACATCAGTACTTGCTGAGGTTTGAAACGGTGAATGTGAATCCCCAGCATTGGATTTGAAGCAGTAAAAGCCAGCTGTTTATCCTTGGAAGTGGCTCTGTATCACGTCTAGTCAGTGTAATAAGCTCCCTCATTCAGGTATGTTGTGTTTTCTTGCTGGTGTTTAGATGGCAAAGGAAACACTTTTCTCATTTTTCTTTTTCTTTGGGTTTACTATAACCTAAAGAAAAATCAAAGGTTTGCTGAGAAATACTGATCTGTTTAGATCTTCACTAGAATCTGGAAAGGGAAAGAGAATGATGATCAGAAAGGAGGTAAAACTGTAAGAGGTGATAACATCTGTGGCTGCCAGGTTGTGTTTTAAAACAAAACCACTGGTGAAGTCCACAAAACCTCTTAAGGAGTCTCTGTGACAGCCTTGGTGCCTTGAGGCATTATTATGGTTTTACAGTTGAAGAATTCAATTACATGCAAAGCTTGTGTAAATTTGAACTAGGTCTCTTAAGTCCTAGGCTGTCATCTGAGATGTTTGACAATTCATTTTGTTGTCTTAGTTCTGGAATATCATTTCAGTGCCAAACTGTTCCACCAAACCCATCTCAAGTGCTCTCAGCATTTATGAATTCCCCTCTGGCTTCAATGTTCTTATCTACCTGTGAATTTAGGGGTTTGTTCTGGTTTGTTGTTAAACTAGGGAAGCAAATCTGCAGCAGATCCAGAGAGAATTTTAGTGGACACCAGAGGGTCATACCAAATAAGTACAAGTAAGTTCAGATCTGTAATGTCAGACTGAAAACCAGCGTGTCCAGTTGCATCAGTCTGACTTGTTCTTCACCTGCTTCCTTTCAGTATTCTTTTTTTTCCATATATCTCTTCCTCTGAAGTATGATTTTCTCTCTTCTTTCTTGTCCTCATCATCTCCTTTATTTCTGTATCCTCCCTTTATTAACAATTTTGCCTTTTTTTTTTTTCTTACTTGGATATTGCATCTTTCCTTCCTTGTTTAAATGATTGTTCTTTGTCCTTCTGTGTTGAGTTATTCCTTCCAGTGTCCTGGATGGGATTTTGGCATAGGTAGGAAAAAAGCTTTTCCAGAAAATCCTTTCAGGTTTTAAGTGGAGGTTGGGATGGGACAGTGTTCAGTCATGTTCATCCCATGGGGTTGTTTAATTTGTACTGAAGGGTAGTGGGGAGAATCTATCACATGCTTTTTTTTTAATCTTACCAGAGATGCAGGTTTTATGTGTTGGAATTAATTTTGTGACATATTGCTGATGAAGAAGAGCAAATATGGCAAAAACTGTTGCCATATTTGGAAACATTTGAGGAAACACTCCAATACATGACAAAGAAACATATCACATGGTTTTGTTACACCTCTTCAAATATACCAACCAAAGGGTTTATCAGGAATTACCACTAGGAAGTTTCAAGTAAATGTGATTGGCTGTTTACAGAAGCAAGGCCATAACTTTCGAAGTCAGCATAATGAAGTCAAGTTATTAACGTTTTGACAGCCAGCAAAAAGACACACAGTGTATTTTTTATACCCAGTTGAAATAATTGCAATTGTCAATAATTAAATACTTGCATTCAACAGCAGATTGAGAAATATTTCCTTCTCCATTTCTGTGAGCTCTTCCAGGATGTGCTGGGTGAGACAGGTTCGAGTTGGATGGACAGTGCTACAGGTGGGTGGATTTTAGACTATCCCTGCTCAGCAGAGCCCATAAAACAATGGTGAGTCATAGGATTGTGCTTTAAGTTATCTTCTGGGAACAGAAGTGGGATTTGGAGGGGGTGGTAGGAAATAGGAGTAGCAAGTATGTAGGAATTATTTAACAAAAGGTAATAGGCAGCTGAAAACACAAACACCTTCAAGTGTCCTGAACATACCTGATTTCATCACTCCCATTCTCCACTCAGACTGACCTGGTTATGGAATTCCCACTGGCTTCAGCAGAACCAGGACTTCTGCTTTAGAAATGTCAGCAGAAATTTCTCCCTGTTCCCACTGCCCAGAGGGAAATCCAGACAGGATTTGTTGGTATTCCTTAGCTCCTGTTCCTCAGAGCAGGACTGTGTGTGCAGGTGGTGGTTGCATTTGCTGCAGAGGGAACCCAGTCCCCTGTTTGGTTATAGGAGGCACTGGCAGTTGTGTGTTCCTCACCAGTACTCTCCTCTGCAGCAGAGATAAATTCAAAGGGAATCCTGGGTGGGGGATCCATGGGATCCATACTCTACCTGTCTCTCAGAAAGCCTTAGGTTTGCAGCCAGTTCAGATTTCCTCCTGATTGTGATGTATCTGTTGTAATGAAACTCCTTCTCTAGCTCTAATCTCTGATGATCTGTGTAAACCACTCGGTACTTCTCTCTTGTTCTTGTTTTACCTGTTTTGAAAGAAGAACACATTGTTTCAAGCTAAAATATTTTAACTTAAGTTACGCAAAATATCTGGCTTTACATTTGCAAATGTTGGTGGGTGTTTTAGGCCTGATTTCTAGGCACTTACCCAGCGTGAATCCCTTGACTTGATCTTGATTTTCAACACAAGAGGTTCATACCATCAGATATTAGGTTTCCTCCTTAGTAAATAGATGATAAACTGCTTCTCATGCTCTTTATCACCCCTGCGTTATCATTTGGAAAAGGGAAGGTGTTCTGGCTAAGAAGAAGGAACCAGGAAAGCTGGGTTCTGTTCCCAGCTCTCACCCGAGCTTCCTGCCTGGGGGTGAACCGCCCTTGTTTTTCTGTCCTGGAGCCCAAAGACTGCTACCTGCTGCAGTGACTGGGAAGGACATTTTACTGCACAGAAAGTACTGAGAGCTTCCAAAGTCCCTCACTTGTTGTTGCTAGAAAAATTCCTACAACACTGTGATTGTTCCTGCAGTTTGGAGGCTGTGTTTTCCCTTAGGGTCTGGCACTGTCTGTCCACAACCTGATAATAGCACAGTAACATAGATCTTTTAGATGACAGTTAATAAAAAAGAGAAAAGGAAAGCAATAATCCTTCACAATGGGCAGAGAAGTGCAGCATCTGCTCTTTTGCAGGCAGCACTGCTGCCTCTGCTCAGCCCTGGGTGCAGCTGAGTGGAGCAGCCGGGGCTCAGCAGTGGCCAGGCCATTAAAAGGCAATGGAAATGACAGCAGGGAACACAGATGCAAGGCCCTGCAAGTTTATGGATTCCATAGAGGGGAATTTCGGAGGACAGGATGTGTGGCTGCAGTGGAAGAGAACTGAGAATGGGAGAGGCTGCTGGTGCTTCCTTTCTCACCCTCCTTTCCCCTGTGGTTAACGCTCACATCAGGCAGTCCGTGGATTGGAGATCAGCACCTGCTCAAAACCAAGGCCTGAGCCCTGGCCTGAGGTCATCCACATATTTGACAGATTGGATCATGTTGTGTTGGGACCAGTGTTACCATCTCTGCTAACCACAGCTTGACCAGTGTTTGGTGCTTGCTTGTCTGTCTCTATATGGGCATTCCTCTACATGGATGGATTTAGGCTGTCCATTGTCTGGGACGGGGAATGCACTTCCACTTTTGCCATGTGTGCCACTGTGGTGCTGTGGGTTGTGAATTGTGTCCCCAGTGGTCACTGTAGTAGGTCCAGGTTCTCTCAGATGATGCACAGAACTGGAGGTGTCCTGTGCCTTCTTACCTGTACCCGCCTGCTGTTGCTGCAGACCTGGGGTGGCTTCACACAGCAGCTCCTGTTTCCTTACAGAACTTCTGAAGGGATTATGTGGATACCTAACTCCTCATAAAGAGATTCCACAAACTCCTATTAATTGCTCTAAGAGAAGTTAATTTTGAATGGAGTGAAATAAATTCTGAGGCACTGAGTTGGTAAAGTATCAGTCTCTGAGTAGATCCCAAAGGCACATGGCCCAGAGCACCCAGCTTCCCTGGCAGGAGAGAGGAGCTGGAGGGTCATCTATCAGTGGTGCTAAAGGCCTCCTTCTTCCCTAGCCCCTCCTTCCCATCCCCCTTTTGTTTGAAGTTTAAGTGGCACCCAAAGTTCAGAATTCAGGGTACAAAACTACAGCAGAGTCTTGGGAGTGCTTTATCCCCTAATTCCTGATTTGGGTTAACGTTTTTCCCCATCTGTGGAGGGAGATGTGATGTCTCATCAGTTTTAAGGGCTGAACATGTTTAAAATCAGCATTGTCTTCCACTTGCTGTGCTCTCTGTGTGGTCATGGTTGAAAGCCACATCACTTCTGTCTCTTATGGTGTTTGACAGTACTTTCCTACTTGTAGGGATTTTTGGCTCCCCAGCCTACTGCGTGCATTGGAAGGGTCTTCATGCTCTGCTCCTCTTTGTACTGTTTGGAGAGATCCCAGATGCAGAGTTGTTGAGCACAGGAAGCCCTGGGCAGTGCCATGCTGTAAATAAACACTGTTCCACTTTGGTTGGGGATGGTTCTGGTTCCCCTAAGGACAGGGTTTCTCCAGGACTCTCTCCAGGCTTGTAGAACATCCGATTTCAGCTCCCACGCTCCGCCCTGGGAGAGCAGCATTCATTAATAGTGCCTTTACAACGCTCTGGGCACTGCCCAACTCTGCTGAGGGCCATCAGCCTCAGTACTTGGAATATTTCAGTGGGGGAAAGAGGGTGTTTGTTCCTAACGCTGGAAACTCTGCTAAATCCATGCAGCCAAACCACTTGGAGTCAATCTGTTGCCTCCCCTGGGAAGATTCTGCTGGGCTGGGGATGACACACGGGACATTCTCATTTCAGCAGCATTTCTGTCAGTGCAAAGCTGCAGTGAAAGCAGGATTAGCCCAATTCCCTTTACACCGATAATCAACTGAAAAGTGCTGTTAATTTTACAACATTAGGGTAAGAATTTTAGAGTCTCTAAGGAGCAGCAGTTACTCAGTTCAGTCCACATAAATCCCAGGACATTTGTTTTCGTTCACTCCAAGTGTAAATTGTTTGTTTAACATACGGTCACCTGTGGTGCTTTAATGCCTCACTTAATATTTTTAAACTTTTGATCTCTCTAGCTGCTGGTTTGGTTCGGGGATTTTTTCCCCTCTGCAAATGAGAACTTGGGGTCATTCTATGGGACAAAATGTTTAACATGTTTCCTTAGTGTCCTTTGTGTCGTTAACCCGGAGTACACAAAAGAGCAACAAGGCGATCTTATCTTGACCTCTATTCTCATTCAGAAACCACAGACAAATATCAAATGTTCTTCTATTGCCAAAACAAGGTGGTAAACGTCAAGATAAACCTTTCTGTTTCTGGTTTTAAGTGCTTAAACCCTTATTATCTGACTAGGAGGGGGTTGTGAGGTTGTTTTATTTGTTTTTAAACTGGAGAAGAAATTAAATGTACAAGGAAAACAGAACTTTCTCCTGTAAAATCTTTTATTTTTGTATTAGTAGCTCCCAGAGGTTTTTTTTTTAGTAGAAATTATAATATCTGGTTTCTTTTTGAAGGAAGTTTGGGAGCTTTGACATCTAATTTCTTTCTTTAAAGTAAGTTAGGAAAATAAAAAGTAGAAAAGCAAAAGGAAGGAAATTCTGAGAAATGCTCTGAGAAAAATGCTCTGATTTGTCACATAAATCTTATCTTTATTAATTTGATTTTTTGTTTGTTTGTTTGTTTGTTCAGAGTAATACCCTCTGTGAGAGACAACGGGCAGTGGGAGCTGAGGTCTACCAGGGTCTCCTGAGAAGACACTTTCAGTTCTGGCAGAACCCTGTTTTAGTCTGTTGGGCCTTTACTCCCACTGAGGGCAGAGAGAGTCTCCCTGATGCCTTTGTTGGATGCTGATCTGGAATCAGTCTGCACATGGCCTTTCCTTTTGAAGGCAAAGTACACTTTTATTTGCCAAAGTTAACAAACAGCAGCATCAGAACCTATCCCTGAACAGTTTGAGACTTTAGCCTCTCCATTCCGTCTGTTGGATGGAATGGATCCACTCCACTGCCTTCTGAGCCAAAGCCTGCAGCCCTTCTACTGGATTTATTTAGTGATGCCTTTTATTTCAAGAAGTATGAACTGAGTAAAACTTGAGGGAGAACTAATGGATTCACCCCAGAGACAGCAGAAGGATGTTCTTCACTTCTCAGACTTCTTTAGGAGGTAATGACAGAGTTTAATGATGCAATGATAAAAGTAACTATATTGATCCCATTCTTTAATCAAATCCTGCATATTTTACTCACTTGGGTGGGTGAAGCTGCAAACATTTAGATTTGTAGGATCTTAATGAACCTTTTGTTGGTGCCAGGTTAAAATCATAATCAGCAACATGGTGTCAGTTCCATTGGAAACACGTTCTGCCATGGACAATTATCCTGGGGAATTGCAAGTTGGTTGCAGAGGTTAATAGTGGTTGGGTGGAAGAGAAATGAAACAAAAGAGCTTTGAAGCAACTACCTTTGCAATCTGCCTGCCTTTGTCCTGGGGAAGTGGATTTCCTGGCTTTAATGAGCTGGTTAAGGAGAGAGTTTTGTCCAAAACCTCTGACTACTGAGAATTGCCTTTGGACCAGCAAAAAATAAGACATTTCAGACTCAGAAAGCTTTTAGTAAGATACAGTTTAACAATCCTGTTGTATCACACCCACCATGGCAATTTTTGTAACTGGCCAAGTTTTGAGTTGGGGGAAGGGAACAGCTTTCCCATTGGTCATAAAATTCACAGAGCATTTCTTCTGAAGACAATAAAGCTGGGAGAAGGCCTCTTTATTTGCTGTGAAAATCATCACCCTTTCCGGCAATATAACTCCTGAAGAAAGGAGGGAGAAGGAAGAGACAAGGCTGCATATCAAAGCAAAGCAAAGTGAAGTGTTAAAAGGGTCTGCTGCCTCAATATGACAGATCGGCCTCAAAACCTCAGACAATGTAGGCCAGGAAAGGAAAAAAAAAACCACCATCGGACCTCACAACTAGTTTACAAAGCAAAATAAATTAGCATTAGAACCAGCCCTGGCTCCTCTTTCAGAGCCTCCTCTCTTAACTTTTCAGGAATATTCTTCATCTACTGAAACCATTGTTCATAAAGTCCAGGAGCTGCCTGAGGATGTCACAGTACAGAATAGTGTGGGATTGCTGTGGGATTACAGCTCGGCTTCCAGGGTTTTGTTTCAGGGGAAGGAATGTCTGTACTTGGTGGCTGGAGTTACCTTAAATCAGCTGGAAATGGGGAACAGCTTTCTGGCCTGAGCATGGGCTCAGTTCAAACCTGCACCTCTCTGTTAGCTTAGTGTTAAGAAACTAATGTTAATTTTTGAGCTTATAAAGATATGGACTGTCAGAGATCAGGCCCCAGAGATTTGTTTAGGACTATCTCTAACTCTTTATGTACTTTAAAAGTGTAGGAAAAGTAAAGGGCAGATTCTCCCCAGTGTAATTTCACTGCCTCAGTTGAAGTTGTGAAGCAAAAATAATTTAAAGTAAGTTTTGAAGACAGATATTGTGCTGCACGTGATGTTCTTAAAGTTAAATTAATAAAACCTCCAAAACCACATTGCCATTGTATTAGAAAATGTTCCATGGGCCCGGTCCTGTGTAATGTGAGTATAATATTCCTGCCAGAAATCTCGGTGTGCTGAGTAGGTGTCCTGGTCCCAGGCATTACTGCAAAGTTAACTGCAGAAAGAAACATGGTGAAATTCTGTGTTTGTATTTTCTGCTGTGTCTTGTTCCTTGTTCTTGTCATACATGTTCAGGTTATTCATGCTGAAAAGAACAGAGCAGGATCATAGGATTGGAACTTTTCAACAGACTTGGAGTTCCCCTTCTGTTTTCAATTTTGAACATGTTCTGCTATTCTGAAATAAAGCTCATTGGCCAAATTCTGTCCTTGCCCTTGCTAGTGTGAACTTTTCTAATACTCTTCACCCTACAGAAGTGAGTCCAAAGCAGAGCTGTTTTTATCCCCTTTAAGCAGTGACGGGACAGGCTGCCCTGTGTGGATCCTCTTTGCAGACAGACATGACCTGTGGAAAATGGAGGTGCATTTCTGAGGGGCAAATCAGGGGAAATCCACGGCCAGTGACTCTACAGACTAAAAGGCAAGTGAGTAACTGAATTTTCTTTCCAAGTGTTCTGTGTTCTTTAGGCCTTCAGCATTTTCACAGGATCACACAATCTGCTAAGTTGGAAGGGACCCAAAAGGATCATGGAGTTCATTTTGCAGGAATGCCTTCTAAAGAGGTTTGTTCCCTTTCCTTAGATTTGAGGGGATATAACTTCTTCCTTCAGAGACTAAATGCACATTTACAGTGCATTTGGTCCTGATGCTCTCAGCACCCTCAGCAGCAGCAGAATTGCCCTTATGTCTTCACAGTAACTTTTATTGAGGAAGAATGATAGGAGGAGAACTGTCATCTACAGGAGAAGGCTCTGCTCATAATTATTCACCTGCTTCAAAACTTGTCCCCTCCCTGTTTTGTGGTAACATTAGTGCAGATCTTAAGATGTACTTTCAGCTTCAGAGCAAACTCTCCTTGGCCTGGGTGCCCTGCTCACACTCGGTGTTCTGGGCACACTTTGACCGCAGGTGTGTGTTGTGATCTCACACAGCCAGAAAGCCAACTCTGCTCCTGTGGGAGCCACGACACACCTCTGTAAAAATATTGGAATCAACAGGAGGAGATTTGTAACTTGTTCTGAGGTGGTTTTATTCTACCTTCTGCCAAAGAATTTGCTGTAATTATGTCACGTGTGTGTGTGTGTGTGTGTGTGTGTGGAATTGCCACCTCAGATTCGTATCTGTGCCCTTGTTCTGTTCTCGGTTACAGTTGCTCCTTGGCTGTGCTGCCCTCTCCAAGTAGGGGTTGAGGACAGTGAGCAGGAGCAGTGTAAGGGTTAGAGAAGGGTCTTTTCTATCAGTGTTCTTGGTTGAAAATACTCATTAGTCAGTGTTTCCTCCTTCAGGAGTCCTGAGTACACGTTTGCTCTCTCCTGTGTCCTGGACACCCTCCCAGTGCAGTGATAGGACGTTGAACCCTGGGTGCACTGAATTTAGGAGCAAGTCCCAGTCCTTCCAGCTCCAAAGCTGCAGGGACAGGCACTCAGACATCCTTCAACCAGAGAGAGAATGATCCATGAAAGCCTCAGTAGGTCTTTTCTGCAGGAAATGCATTTCAGTAACACTAAACAGGGTGATGGTCTCACATTAAATACTGAGATCTTCCAGAGGTTTCATGTAGCAAAGCCTCATAAGCTTCACTTAACACCAGCTGAAGACATGGTATCTTCAATTTACATGGGATGTTGTTTTTAAAATTACTGAGTAAGACTTGAAATCATTTCTCCCTTTGTTGCAGGTTAGCTGTGTAGATACCAGGGTATCAAAGGGCCTGTAGGACATGAGGCATTGGTGGAAATTGGAATTAAGTGTTTTGTTTGTCATCTCTATGGACACGAGGCCACAAAGCACCACGAAGAGAAGCTGACCATGGAATCTCTGGAGCTGGAAATGCCACAGACTCAGGGCCTTGTTTCTGTAGCTGCCATGAGTTACACTGCTCAAAGTAAGTTACCTTTGGAATGAATCTCTCCCAGTCTTAAAGGGATAAGATTACAGGAACACTTCTTGCCCACTTCCAAGAATATCTTGCAAAAATCACTTGCCTTAATAGTTATTGTTTCCACAGTGCAATAATATTGATAACTAGTGTAATGAATAAATAATAAAATTAACCTGTCTAGATAATTTCTGTTCTGATCACCTCAGGTAAGTCTGAGCCTGTTTTCTCATCTTTAAGAACAGTGGTTCCTATCTACTGCACAGGGAATAAGGAAAGCCAATAAATAAGAGCTGTGATTCCTTGACTCCTGCCTATACTTGCTCTACTGAAAATCCTGAAGTTTCGCAAAGAGACAGAAGGATAATGCTCAGTGGACACATACAGCTTTAAGGATGGGAAAAGCAATGGATTCCATCCAAGAAGACCCAGCAAGCAACACTGGTCCTTGCAGTTGGCCTGGTCACACACCTGAGGTCACCTGCAACACCTGCATGCACAGAACCGAACTCAGAGTGTGACATTCTACAGCTGGCATTGCTGGAAGGGAAAATACTTAAAAATTACTTTATTTTTTTGAAAAATGAAGAACAATGGTGCCCTTGCTTTTAAACAGAGGAAAAGGAGTGAAAGCACAAAAAGGAACCAATTCCAGTGAAAGAGATTTATTGGCACAGAGCCTTCTTGGCCTAGCAGAGAAAAATATATATAAGAGGGAAAGAAACAACAATTAGAATTCCCAGTCTGGAGTTCTCCCTAAAGCAGGACCTAATAGTTATTAAATGAATGGCCAGGCCCCCACCAGCTTCAGAGGGCCTTACATGGCTCATGGGTGTTTGGGATGCTGATTCCTCCTGTCATAAAGACACTCATGTCAGACTGTTCCAGGATGGAGACACTTCCAGCTCTTCCTGGGAATGCTCTGACCCTTGCAGACTTGAAATTTGAAAAGTTAGAAAGTTCTAAGTGTGCTACTCAGGCAGGCAGTTGGAAGGGGGTATTGTCTGTAACACACACATAAAATATCAATCTATCTCACTAAGTCCCCACTATCAAAGGGACACACAGACAGAACAAATCAGGTCTTGCTCTCAAAGGCTGCAGCTGGAATGCACAGGAGCATAGGGCAGGTAGGGAAAGAAGAGATGAGCAGTGGATTATTGAAGCAAAGGTCCTGCTGTCTGTAAATCAGTTAGTGAGCAATTTCATTGCCCTTGGAAGGACTACCCAAAAGCAGGCTGTAAGTTTTTACAAAACAGGCCCTCTTTTGTTTTGTCTTGTATTCAGTGAAGAAAAAATATGATTTAAAATCACTTGCTTTTTTTTTTTCCCCCAAAAAATTCTTATTCTCCTGAGGTAACAACCTATTTTGATTGGCCGACTGACTTCTGTGGACTCTCTGTGAACTGAAGTTGTGTTCAGCAGGAGTGAGGATGGATCTGTCCATACATATAAATTAGAGGCATTATTTTAATATAGACTATTTTTCTAGACACTTGCATTCTTTTCTCTAACTTATGGTTTCAGTAATGGCTTTTCCACCAGAGATTGATTCGGTACTTGCTTTGCAGACTATTATTTACAGGCATGTGTGGAGCAGAGCTGGGGCTGGAGGGAGGGCTGAAAGGGAAGGGACCTTCCAGGGATGGAACATTGGAATACTGGGAGTATCTCTGAAGGGGAGGAACTGAGCATCCTTAATTTTTACTGATCTCAGTGCGTGGCAGAGCTGCTCAGCACCTTGGAGGATCAAATACTTTCATACAGCAGTCTGTGCCTCTGTGCTTTTCAGGCAGTTTCCCCTCTTTTTCTTATCCTTCTCCCCTTTCTTGTTTCATAATTTTTTCATATAATACAAGGTACAGGGTTTTTTTTACAGATGCTCAATATTTACCTTTTGTTCTCTTGTTCCTTCTCCCAGTCAAACAGGACCTTTTCCTCATGTCCACAGCTAATTTTTCCTGGTTAAATACGATTGAAGGATTGTACTCATTGACTGTTACACATCAGAGACTGATCTGCGGCTGCATTAACTGACTGTGTTCCCATGGATCTTTGTATTCCTGCACATTCTGAGAGCTGCTGCTCCAAAGTGAAGCCAACTTTTCCTTATCATCCCTATTTTTAAAGCATGGGCTCATTGTTTGATCTGGCAGATTTCATTTCAGTGCTCTGAGGTTTAGAGAGGCTGTTTCTAATACAAAGCCTTATTGCCACCCCCCTGCTGTACATGTTTCACTTGAACTTTTCATAAGTACTGCAAAACTTGAGGGAAGTAAGCAAAGCGTAGGTGGTGCTGAAGTCCAATACTTCGATCACGATCCATTTCTGCAGACATGCTGCTTCATTCCCGTCTATAGGGGAATCTATTCCCACCTGTAATCTCCTATTGAAAGCAATTATTTGATATCACAAACTTTTTAAGCACATCTGAAGTGAGAAGTGAAAGGCCATTGGTTTTCATTTCCCGCAGCGTTAGAGGTCAAGGAAGAAACGTAAGAATCAGTCAAGTGATTGAGTGATCGACCCAATATTTAGCACGAGGATTCCTCAGAGCAATAAGGACCTTTGTTCATCTGTGTGGCTCCCTCTGAAAGGGGAACCTGGCAAACCCCCCAGCAAGTGAGACCTCTCCTCAGCATCACCCCCAGTGCCCTCCTTCGTACCTGTGGACGTGGCTTGCACGGTTTTCCTCATCCACTCGTAGGAGCTGTGCCTGTGGCTGCTGGGGGAGCAGTGCTGGGCACTGCCGGGCTCTGCGGGAGGAGCCCCCCCGGCCCCGGGCTGCAGGGAGCTGTACTCGGCGGGGCTGTAGGAGCCCGGGGCGGGGGACGAGGCGCTGAGCTGGGCAGTGCCCGCGCCGGAGGGGCCCGGCCCGTACGCGTTCCAGTCCTCCCTCTGCGGGCCATAGTGGGAGCCCCAGGGCCCCGGCGGCTGCCCGTGGGTGTCCAGGGCTGGCACGGGGTGGTATCCCATGTACTCGGGGTAGGGGGGTGCGGACACGAAGCCCTGCCCTGGCAGGGTGCTGCCGGTGCACCGGGCAGAGCCTGGGTACATGCTGCTCTCCTGCTCCAAAAGGTAGCTCACGTACATGGTGTTCAGAGCCCGGCTCTGTCCTGCCGGGACATCCTGCTCCTCGCAGGGCTCGTTTGATCTCCCTTCCCCTCCTCTTTCTTTCTCTCTTTTCTAGCCCTGCCTGGCTCTATAAATGACTCACGCTAGCCCTGATGTCCCTTTACTACACATGATTAACAATGGTTTTACCAGGTGCTGGTGGTAACAGTTTACTAAGGTCCTGCCTGATGTCACAGATAACTGCCTGCCCCAAAATTACATTTGCATTCAAATGAAGGGCTGCCCATGCAGGCAACCCCACCTTGCTGCGAGTTCCAGTGCTTCCTTTCTCACAGCTCTCTATGGATTGCCAGCCCCGTCCTATACGTGCAGAAAGGAGTTTGAAATCTCGTGCTCTTCAAGAAGAGCTGTGTCCACAGCTACCCATAACTGTTGAGACAGTAGAGGCAGCGTTTCTCTTGAGCCGTGCATGCCAGAATCTAACTTCAGGCACCAGCTTATAGTCACTTAAAGCCTGGTTTCTGCCTGTCCAGTAGTAGTTCTGTCAGAGTGTGCTGTATTATTTTTTTAAACTAAACCCAAAGGACCAGTTCAGTCTTTAACTGCAGCTCTTACATTGTTTCTCATATGAACACCCTTCTTGACTTAAACTCTTAGTCTGTGTGGGAGAGCACTTAGAAACCGCAGTAATCCTGCTGATTTTAACATTACAAAGGATATACAAGAAGTCTCGTAGTCATTTTGAGCATTTGTTCATACGAATAGTCTTGTTGATGTTAGCGAGCCTATTCATGAGCTGGCTGCTTGCCACGGTGATTGAAGTTCCTCGGTTCTAACTTACAATGGAAACAGAAAGAGAATCTGTTATTGAGAGAATGCAAAATTTGTCACTTTGCCTATGCTCGTGTCTTGTTTGTGATATTGAAATGAGTGGTATCTTCCCCTGAAGGTTTTTCTGTTCTCATTGCTGTGCTTGTTCACAGTAAGGAACACCTTTTTTTAGAAAGATGGGAGCAAATTAGAGCTTTTTAGCTCAGAAAAGCAGTTTCTAACTTTCAGGAGCAATCTTATGTAAGTAACAAATCCCTACGAGATCATCTGTAACCAGGAGCAAGGAGAGAAAGTGTGGATTTCTTTTTTTTAAGTGAGATAGATACCTCAGCATTGTCTCTTAATGGGACTTCACCCTGTTTTCATTCCTATTCCTTTAATGATGTGATACTTAATTGCACCTTTATTAATGATCCAACTTGCTAAAGGGATTTTTCCCTTAAACAGGCGCAAAGTATAATGAGTTTTTTCTTTGTTCAGAGGTGTATTTTTTCTCTGAGAGTCTTTTGCACTTCGACACCGTTTAAACTTAGAGGTTCTCAGGAGGAGAGAGTCACTTTGCACACCTGACAACACCGATGTTGTCAGTGAGAGAAAGGTGTCCTCGGGCTGAATTCACAGCATGGGTGGGGGAAAAGGCTTTTCTGACTGAGAATTCCAGAGCTGGGTGCAGAAGCACAGCCACCTTCTCTGAGTATTTAAGATTTTCCTACTGTGCACGTTGCTAAAACTTGTACCTGTTTGCATCCGGAGTTTTTGGAGGCCGATGTTTTGCTGGTGTAATTGCTGAAAGGTATTTCAAAAATCATTAGGTGGAGGGAAGTTGGCAGAAATGGTTTCTTCTGCTTGCATATGTGAGCTTTTTGGGTTGCAATTCACACTTCTGTCCCAGCTGGTCACTCGGAATGGCCAAGCAGAGCGGCTGGTACAGCCTCCCCAAATCCAGGGAAGTCACTGCTCAGTGTGTCATGGATCTGAACTGCCCAATTCTCCCGTAGCAGCAAAATAAATCAGTTATTAATTAGGAATGAGCTGGCTCTAGACAAGTGTCTGCAGTTACCAGCACAGTGTGATTTTAATGTTCGGGTTTTTAGCCAGTGTTTCCCTCCCTGTCTCAATCACTCAGAGCACTGTGGTTGCTTGGTAGCTCTCAAGTTTAGACTGCATTGAAATAGTTACAAAGAAAGATGCTTTACAGCTTTTTGTTGTAACTTGATTTCATTTCCTTTCCTCCTCTTCAAAACTGTTGGAAATTGTCCTTGTAGGCATTTCAGTGCCTCTCCTGATGCAGGTGTACCAATAAATCAGCCAGAGGAAGGGGCAGCCTTTGCTGCTTTTCAGCAGCATTAGCTGTGGCCCTCCAGCTGTTTGGAAAAGGTTTCAATTATATTCATTCGACAAAACTTTCCCCACAGGCTTTATCTACCTGATACACCACAGCATAGGGCTCTGCAGAAGGACTGGGTCTCCCTGCATCCTTTGGATCGGTGCTCAGGAGCATTGGATGCACCAGGCAGGGATTCATTCTCTATCCATTGTTACCTGAGAAACATCTGGATCAGGTTTTTCATAGTGGTATAACTTGGCTGAAGAAGCTACTGAAAGTAGTAAAATAGTGATTATTCATATGGATTAGAAAAATGACATAAAAATCCCTTTTGATGCTTTCAGCTGATACAGGTATGTAATGACATGGCAGAGACTCTTTTCCTCGGTCTGTGCTGCCTAAAGAAAGTACTTTACAGTCTCTGATCGTTAAAGTAACAATACCTTACCCCTCTGGCCACATGCTGTGCCCACTAAGCAGGAAACTGCTTCCTTTGGCTTCCCCAGTACCCTAAGTTGGTCTGATTTCAGCAGGGCTGTATTTCGGGTTTGCTTAGTCCAAGTTTTTCTAATTTATACCATTTAAATCTAACCTATTAGTTAAACCACAGTCATTAGACCAAAGTGTTCTTTACCTGCTGGGGTTGTGTGAATAATCACATGCTGACAAGTTGCTTTTAAAATGAAATATTTTCAAAATTGCACAAAGTGTAAAGGAATTGGAATTTGGGTTGCTTTTCATACTTTCTAGGAGGAATATGTGTTAGTGACAGGTGTCCTGTTGGCAAGATCAGTCGGGTATAAATCTACCATCCTGCAGTCAAAAGACCCACAAACCCTGAAGTTTCTTCACTCCGTTATTACATCTGTAAAGTGTTTGTACACAGAACTTTAAGTGTACAGTGCTTGGAGCTACTTATTTTGGTGAATAAAGCTGAAAGTCTGTTAGAATACAGCAATATAGTGCATTTATGTGTGAAAAAGCCCAGTTCCCTTCCCACAGGCCTTCAGGAGGGAGCTGGTGGCACAGCAGGTGCCCAGTGTTTCTCTGGGCATTGGTACTGCAAACAGCAAAGTTCGGAGTTTGGCACTAAATTGTAGATTTCAAAGTGAGAGGAGTTTTGTTTCAGGACTTTAACCCATTTGAAAGAAAACTGCCCATATATTTGGGTTTCTGAACTCTTCCTTACATCAACTTGGTGAAACTTTTTACTTCTTATATTATTTTGGTAATCCTTAAATCTTCGTTCGCGAAGCCTAGCCATGATTTTGGCAATAATTCTGCACTGACACTTCTGCATTTCATTTTGCTGTTCTGAATAAAGCTCTCTGCAAACATTTTGGTTTAGAGTATTATCATTTGACATGCAGGAATGGCAGTGGCTCAGTGGAGAGAGGTCCCTCCAGAGCAGAGCCTGGAGAAACAAAGCAGGAATCTCTCTTTCCTGAGTATGTTTTCCCTATAACTATATTTTGAGGGATAGCAATCTCAACCTTTCCTACCCTTCTCCTCTTTGCATCCAAATCCATAACCTAGATTATATTAAGCATATATAGCCTTTCATCATTCTTTTGTAAGTAGCAACATTAAGGCTAGAAAAGCAATTAAGGTAGAATTAATTGCCTTGTAAAATGTTATTCTTATTTCTTAATGGCATCCCTTACATGATAATAAATCCCAAACAATATCAATATGAAATCAGATTTCTCCAAGTTGATTTGTGAAGAGACCAAGTCCAACATCTTGTGGATCTAACAAATAGAGTGACAATTTTGTGTTCTGGGCTCACGTTGAGAAGTCAAAAGTTGAGTGGAAATGAGAAATTGTCCTGAATTCTCAAGAGAGGAAAGAACTTTATTGTTCTGAGATAAGCCTACAACACCTTCTCCCTGGGGCCTCTCTGAGATGCATTTCTCCAGTTCTAAACTGGAACAGTTTCTGAAGCTGGGAAGTGGTCTCCACCAGAGACACTGGTTGGGAAAACATCTCTGAGGGAGGTTTTCTCAGATCCCGTGGGTCATGGCTGTGTCAGAGACTGGGCAGGAACTCGGCAATGCTCCAGCCCACTTTGAATATTCAGGAAGCTGAATGTGAGCCAGAGTGTGCCCAGTGGCCAAGAGGGCCAATGGATCCTGGCCTGGCTCAGGAAGAGTGTGGCAGCAGGAGCAGGGAAGTGATTCTTGCCCTGCACTGGGCGCTGGTGAGGCCACCCCTGGAGTGCTGTGTCCAGCTCTGGGCCCTC